CAGAATTTGTCAAGAGTGTCCGAATGCCAGTGAGAGCTAGAATTATAGATCTTATACCTCCCCAAAGGTTGCGCTTTACAAAAAAAAATCATGCTCGACTTACGCATTTCTCGGCATTTTCGGGTAGCTCTTTCACAGCCTTCTTCCGTGAAAAAGTTGTTGGCATTTCCACCGCAACCACTGTAGATGAATTCGATACATTTGCCGCTTCTGGCATCGTATCCATATCTACCGTCAAATTCTTCGCAGGGACCCATCTCAAACGGCATACGGCATATAGCGAAGGCATCTGGCATATAAGAATTGAGATTAATCAAATGACAGGACATCTCATTATAGGCTATTTTTGCCTGGGAATTATAACAAAAACCAACTGTTACATTTTTAGTAAACGGCTTTCCTTTTTTCGGTAAATACCGCCAATATAAGGTATACTTTCACTCAAAAGGCATACGTTGGCTGAACACCAGGAGCTTAGTTTGATGTTATTGATTCTACTTAGAATATTGGAACAAACATATATTTTTTAAAATTTAATAAGTTGGATCCCTTCCAACACAACTGAATATTCACATACGCTCACTAAACAAGGATTACATGTTTCATCAAAAATTACGTAAGAAAGTTGGGTGGGGGAGAAATATATTTAGGTGGCCCTAAAAGACAAAAATCAATGAAATGTAAATTGGGGAAGAACAGTGTAGACCGTTCTCATTTCTTGATGTAGGTTTGAGTAAAAGGACTAACGTAAGGTCTATCGTAAGAGGATGTGGTCCGGAAAGTTTCACACCACTACACTTCAAACGCAATTTCGTACGATTTTTGATGCAAAGCGCAAAAAAGATATGCTCCACCAATGGCATCAAAGAAGAGCTTAATATTATAGAGTACAGTTGGTACAGTACAGCAAGTTCAGTTAGTAATCCTGTCCAAGTATACAATTTGTATTTTATCTGTACATGTACTGGCGTGAGGAGAAGTTGCTGAAAAGATACGTCTGCTAAATTGACTTTTCAAATTCAACATGCAGATATTTCCAGAAATTTATTATAATTGGAAATACAGGATTCAATAATAACCAGGCTTACCGTCATTTACGCCGAATACGCACCCCATGGTAGCCAGTAGGAGGAAGAACAACATTCTCTGTGACAACTGATCCTGACAAACTGTCTACACGATTTTCTGTGGTGTTATGTCTCCACTGACGCGTTTTACAGCACACCAAACCGCATTCAAATTTGCCTATCTCGGCACAACACCACGTACTAGCGCTGTCTACGTGATCTCCCTGGTAGGGACTAAATAAGCGAATGGTTTCATGTCAGCCATAGCTAAAAAAGTAATCTACCGTAAGCGGGATGGAAGGTGTTAATAGAGGTCCGTTTCTAATAGCCATGCTGTTACTTTCTGCGCCCCGATTGGTCCAGAAGTGTGTCGGCGAATAACTTGACGAATCGCAGTCCGACAGTCTGGAATTTCAGTTCGGCAGTCAGTCCTCCCGGCAAGGTTATACGCTCGAGGATGGCGGCACCGGCCAAATGCAATTTATCCCACAGACAGCAGAGCTGGTTAACCAAATTAACAACAGCGGCTTTCGGCATCAGTACTAATTCAGTAAAAGCCCCATTCTTGCATTGCACGTTCAAACTGCAATCTAACTATCTGTCAAGTAATCAAAAGCTTGTCAGCCTATGACTCAGTTTTACGCAGAGGAAAGTGTTTGAGAACTTTGCGAATAACTGATCACCTACACTCTCCCGAATTGCTTATTCAAAAAAACTATTTAGGAAGTTTGGCAGATTTGGCTAATTAAGTTGACCCAATTGTGGCCATTGGCTTCGCCTTAAGATCCTTTCTACTATGCGGGTTCAAATCCCGCCGAATGCCGTGACCCTTTTTTGCAATTAGGTCAACTATATTGAGGAAATTTGTCAAAACTCCTGAATGAATGTCAGCATAGTAGTCATTCTGGCGGATTCTAGATGATTGCTTAGGAAATCCTGCTTCAATTGTTATTAAACTCAGTTTGCGGCTCAACTGGTAGAGCATTGTTTCTGCGTTAATGCCTTCCCTACTATGCAGGTTGAAATCACACGGAAAACCGCGAGTTTTTCACAATTGGTTCATCTAAATTATACAAAAAAGACTTAAGAAAATTACACAACGCTTAAAGCAAATTAAAATCACCTCAGAAGCAGAACGACTGACACTTGTGGTATGGTTTTTCTGCGCCAACTTTGTCAGCCGGTATCAAGACTGTCCTTCGGTCTTTAAAGTCCTGCGTAATTACGTGCGAGATGGTTATACTGTAGGCGAAGAAGTCGGAAGTGGAAGCAGGCCTACCAGCAGCCTCAACTGATGTAAAGAAGCACAACACCAGCGGCCATCATCATACACAAACTTCCATGCGGGGTCGAGGTAGTGAACGAAAAAAAAGATCAGTTCAAGGTCGAAGAGTTTGGCCATTCATTAAAATTCCCCATTCAATATTTACAACAGATGTTTTTGAAATGGTGAACCGGTCAAGCTCTCCGAAGCTTCAGTATGAATCCCTACCCGTTCCATCTCGCATACTATTCGTCCACACCACTGGACAGGTGCTGCCGAGTGCGCTGTTTCTCGCGGACGCCGTAGCTTGGATCATAATTACGTGTACAGACATGTTCATGATGAATCTTCCGTAAGTGGGCCGCTAACAGCTACTCTGTTTGTTTGTTCGCGGTTTTCTTCCCTAACTCTTTGGCTCAGAACTCAAAGGCAGCAGTGGCAAGCAAACGCATTTGATAGTGGTTCACAGTCGGCACGTCACACTGCCGTCACTAGCAATCGACCGCGTAATACACACAATAGAATCAGAAGTGAGTTAGCAAAGAGCATTTGGTAAAAAATAAATTCGGCTCTCAAAGAGGGCAACCACGGGCTCAACGTTGGTGTGGTAGTAAGCTGCACTATGCCTACCGTCTCTCCCCTACTGCGCATACGATATTGCAAAAGATCCACGGAAGAGTAAGCGCGGTACACTGACGACGAAAACGGTATGCTTTTGAAACTTCAATTGAAATATAGTTCGGTCTATGGAAGTGGCCTCTCTTCTTTTTCCCTTTGGGGAAATGATGTACGCAATTGTAATCCTATATTCATTAGGGCCGAATATGTGCGTGATATTCTTTTTCGCACATAACATGCGGGTAAGGCTTGATTTACTACCAACTGAGTCCAAAAGAACGATGGTGACATTTATATTTACGGTCCAGTAGACCTTATTTTTCGCGTAACTGGCACATGCTACCTTACCGATTGGGAGTTGGCTGTTACCCACGCATGACGCAGTCCTTTTTGCTAAGCTTATTTTTGTTTTTTAGTTTTAGTTTATTTTCGCTCACCATTTTAGCGACACACAGGTGCTTTTTGGCTTAGAAGCTACTGTAAATTTTAAATGATGGCGAAAACAGACCCACATGGACACAGTGTTCATATACAGATTATATAGACTTTATATAAATTTCACACACAGTGGACGATCGTAGTTGATTGGGCTCTATTGGCCGTTCTTGCTTCGTATAGGTCGTATTTATGATTTTACTTATCGTGTACATGTTTCTGGTTGTTTAGGTAAGTATTCCTATTTCTTTCTACTTTTAAACGTTCTACTCTTTAATTATTTATCTTTTCGCCTATACGCTCCACCCATTTAACCCCTACTATTACCGCTTTCGGGGTATTTGTGGGCCGTAGTGGACCACAAGTGTAACTTTTACCGAAAAATACACTTTGTTTAATTGATTAAATTATAAAAAAATATATTTAACTGTAAAAGGGCAGCCAAAAAGGGAAAACTCCTGCCACTTAAGCAGTCATTTAAGGACTTAAAGTGCTGAAGTTTGGATAAGCTGCTTATAGTTCTCCGTTTTATCTTGCGGAATCTGAATCAAACCTTTTCTAAGTTCTCCGATTTGCTTTCCGGAAATAGCACCATTGCCAATGTCCA